CAAAGGAAGCAAAGTTTCCTTACTTTAGCAAAGGAAAACCAGTCTCCTCTTGGCTTATATCCAAATCCTCTGACATTCTTCTTTACAAATCCTTGTTTTGTACTTCTAATTAGTGACCGTTGTTTTGTTTTGATCTCTCCGCTGTGCTTCCGCATTCGTCACTTCTGAGCGGCGCATGCACAAAGCCGACCTCATACGTCATCCGCTCATAACTGCTTCCATGTACAACAGTGAGCAAGCTAGATTAAAGTGATTATTATGTTTTGAATATGGATATTTTTCTTACAAAAACGTATTGATTCGCTACAGGAGGCCTTTGTTCACCCCCCGGAGCCGTGTGAGACACTTTTTTTTATGGATGGGTGCTTTTTATTTCACTTTTTTTATTTTTATTTTTTATTTCACTGCAACACCCGCTGAGTGCAATGATAGAGCTTGGAATAGCCAGGACAATTTTTTATCTAACTCCGACTGGATTCGTCTGAAAGAAGAAAGTCATATACACCTAGGATGCCTCGGGGGTGAGTAAAACACAGCCTAATTTCCATTTTTGGGTGAACTAACCCTTTAATGAGTCATTCAGCCGATTCGCTCAACAACCATGTCACTGAATCATTAATTCAACTGATTCTTTCAACAACACTGAATCAATTAGAAATGAAACAAGGCTTTGTGTGAGTCAGTGCGTCATTCATTCAACCAATTCACTCAACAACACTGAATAATTCAGCATCGAAACAAGGCTGTGTTCCAGGTTTTTTTTTATGCCCTTCCCTCGCTAACTTTCCTCTGTCTCGTCGACTCGGATGTACGTCCTTGATTACATTGCACAAGTGGTTTCTATTAAGAATTTGTTTGATACAGCATTCTATAAGTATAAAGGTGTGCTTGGGCTGTTTTAAATATTTTTTTAAAGTAATTTAATATATTATAGAGTTGTTTGGGGTAGGGATAAATTAAACACAATCTTTGGTGACGTCACAATCGTGCTGCATTGTGGTCTATGGAGCAGCCTGAAGTGTACATATGAAGTAAACTTGCTGCCTCGGTCAAAATCGAGGGCTCAAGGGTCTGTCCATGTAAACTTCCCTCGTCCACTTCACGAAGTGGAACGCACTTCAAAATGGCATTGAGGATTCCCCCATTGAGGGGAAGTACTTAGGGAAGTTTGCAAGTGTCATTAACATTTAGTCATTTAGCAGACACTTTTATCCAAAGCGACTTACAAATGAGGACAATAGTTCAACGTTCATATACACTGTATATATATATATATATATATATACAGTGTATATGAACGTTGAACTATTGTCCTCATTTGTAAGTCGCTTTGGATAAAAGTGTCTGCTAAATGACTAAATGTTAATGACACTTGCAAACTTCCCTAAGTACTTCCCCTCAATGGGGGAATCCTCAATGCCATTTTGAAGTGCGTTCCACTTCGTGAAGTGGACGAGGGAAGTTTACATGGACAGACCCTTGAGCCCTCGATTTTGACCGAGGCAGCAAGTTTACTTCATATGTACACTTCAGGCTGCTCCATAGACCACAATGCAGCACGATTGTGACGTCACCAAAGATTGTGTTTAATTTATCCCTACCCCAAACAACTCTATAATATATTAAATTACTTTAAAAAAATATTTAAAACAGCCCAAGCACACCTTTATACTTATAGAATGCTGTATCAAACAAATTCTTAATAGAAACCACTTGTGCAATGTAATCAAGGACGTACATCCGAGTCGACGAGACAGAGGAAAGTTAGCGAGGGAAGGGCATAAAAAAAAACCTGGAACACAGCCTTGTTTCGATGCTGAATTATTCAGTGTTGTTGAGTGAATTGGTTGAATGAATGACGCACTGACTCACACAAAGCCTTGTTTCATTTCTAATTGATTCAGTGTTGTTGAAAGAATCAGTTGAATTAATGATTCAGTGACATGGTTGTTGAGCGAATCGGCTGAATGACTCATTAAAGGGTTAGTTCACCCAAAAATGGAAATTAGGCTGTGTTTTACTCACCCCCGAGGCATCCTAGGTGTATATGACTTTCTTCTTTCAGACGAATCCAGTCGGAGTTATATTAAAAATTGTCCTGGCTATTCCAAGCTCTATCATTGCACTCAGCGGGTGTTGCAGTGAAATAAAAAATAAAAATAAAAAAAGTGAAATAAAAAGCACCCATCCATAAAAAAAAGTGTCTCACACGGCTCCGGGGGGTGAACAAAGGCCTCCTGTAGCGAATCAATACGTTTTTGTAAGAAAAATATCCATATTCAAAACATAATAATCACTTTAATCTAGCTTGCTCACTGTTGTACATGGAAGCAGTTATGAGCGGATGACGTATGAGGTCGGCGTGGAGATGATAATAGCAGATATAGGTCAACAACAGCCTTGAGAGAGAGTTCTGACTCATGTGAACATATGTGTGTGATGTCAGCAGGGTTACAGCGTTGACAAGGTTATTTTCATTCAATGATATTCTCTTGTGCTCATCAGTTCTTGGCAGTGAATGTAGAAGTGCAGACGCCGTGTTCTTTCACTTACCAGCTGTGCTTTGTCAAATCTGCCTGAAAACAACACCGAGTGAATGCATCTAGTTTTAAGCATTGTATTATTGCTGAAAAAACAAGGACAGTTTCATATTTTAAGCAAAAAAAAGTATTCATATGTTCCTATGATGCAGAAAATTAACAGAGGACCTATGCTGTTATTCTCTGTAGGGTTGAAGTTAAAGTCCCGGAGCATCTGGTCATACAGAAGAACAACAGAAGATGTGGCCGTCGAGTGCAGAAGAACATGTGTCTGTCCCCGACTGATCCGTACTCGGGCATTCTCACTACCGGTAACACACACACACACACACACACACACTCACACACACACACACACACACACACACACACACACACTCACACACACACACACACACACACACACACACACACACACACACTCACTCACTCACTCACTCACACACACACACACACACACACACACAGATACATGATTTTAGTATAATTTATATGATTGATATTCTAGTGTTATTAATATTTTAAATGAGCTTTTAGTTGTTTTTATTTAACTTTTATAGAATATGGAGAACAATTCTGAAAAAAATTCTGAAAACTTGCAATGGAAAGCAATGAGATCTTTATAACAGTAAAAATGCATATAAATATCAGTTGTCACTCTATATCTCTCAGTAATATGATTTAATTAGATTATATTTTCAATTTTAGTGTTATATTTTGCAATTTTATGTTCTTTTTGTTCTTTTTTATATTACTATTTTGGTTTAATTTATTTTTATTTTAGCTTTAGTTCAGTTTTAGTTTTTATTTATTTCTTTTATTTCCAGTTAATCATTTTAGTGCTTATCTTATATATATATACATACATATATATACAGTGTTGGGGAAAGTTACTTTTAAAAGTAATGCATTACAATATCGCGTTACTCCATAAAAAAGTAACTAATTACGGTACTTAGTTACTACAGTGTATTTTTGGCTATTGCTACAAATATTCCCCAGCGACTTAAGCCTGCTTTTGTGCTGCAGGGTACAGGAACAGTTTACTGAAAGACAAAATAAAAATAAAAATGTGTTTTTTGTTGAGTATATCAGGCTTTTATCGCTCATATAGTCTGATATAATGAGATTATGAAGGAAAAAACAGCTAAACTTTATTCAGAGACTCAAACTGCAATTTAGTGCAGATGCTGATATTTCTATGATGCTTGTCATGTAAATCAATGAGATCTTTATAACAGTAGAGCAGATACTTACATAAAATGATCTAAATATCAGTCGCTGCTCGATATCTCCAGTAATCTGTCTCAGTGAGATGAGATTGAAATGCTCCAAACATATAATGCAGTGATTGAGAGCTGAAGAAATAACGCTCCTCAGAAGATGTGAGATGTTCTGGAGGCTTGTGAAGATCATTCCTCCGCTGAGGAACAGTGAAAGTAAAGCTTCTGGAAACAAACGCTCCTCAAAAGATCCTGAGGATCAGATTTGAGACTCTAAAACATGATTGATGGAGAATCAAGTAAAGCTGAGCTGCTTCAGTCCAGTAAGTGTTCATCTGGAGATATTACTACCTTTACTTGATAAAAATCAGTCAAGATTTGACACGAGAAAGACACGTGAAGCTGGACGTTTGTACAATTACACTAAAAGGCATGTCATTCAATCAGAAGGCATGGAGGCGATTGAGTGTGAAACAGGTTTATCAGCATCATGTTGATCATTTAGAGGCCTTAGAAATGTGTGTATCAAATATTAGGCTTTATAGAGTTAACATTCCCATAGCTGACTGTGTGATGAAACCCAAAATGGAAATCTGGAGACTATAAAGACTAATGACTAGTTTTAGTAGCAGAATGTTCTCTCAAATGTCTCAACAGATGATGTTTGCACTGATTGTTTGTCTCTCTGTATCTTGTTCAGTGTGTCCATCCAGAAGCTTCCTGAGAAGAGCTGCTACATCATCTATGAGTTCTGGCAGGACCGTATTTCCTGGATGAGGTGTGTGTGTGTGTGTGTGAGTGTGTGAGTGTGTGTGTGTGTGTGTGTGTGTGTGTGTGTGTGTGTGAGTGTGTGAGTGTGTGTGTGTGTGTGTGTGTGTGTGTGTGTGTGTGATGAGCAGTGTAATTTGGAGAGTTGGTTCAGGGGTCTTTGGAAATCAAATCCTAATCGAATCTATTTTTACGAACACAAGACAAGCACAGTCTAGTTTGAGGCTTCGTTCAGCCTCCTACTGCAGTCCTTCATTGGCACAAGCTCCTGCTGGGTCCTGCATCTGTTTGGGTACATGGATGGACAAGATTCTGTTCTGTTCACTACACCTACTCGCTGAAACCTGATTTTCTTGACTAAAGGAGAAATCTCCAAATAGATAAGGAGTGTTTCGGTTTGATGGTGTGCTGATATGTGAATGTGGCCGGTCTTGTGTTGATGTTCATTTTTGTGATGCCAGAAAACCGCGAAGAAAGAGTTCAGAAAGCGTCATTTGTGCAGTTTAGATGCAATAAATGCACTTTATGGCCTGGAGAAGAAGTTTTGAGCTCTGAAAGTCACAGTATGTTTTCATCAAGCTCTTACATTTTAAAATATCTAGTAAAATGTGATTCCTCAAGATGTAGCCTATTATTGTACACTATAGCATTCAAAAGTTTGGGTCAGAAATAAAATTAAATGAAATAAATGAATACTTTTAATCAGCAAGGATGTATTGTAAGTCGCTTTGGATAAAAGCGTCTGCTAAATGACTAAATGTAAATGTATTAAATTGATCAAAAGTGACAGTAAAGTTATAAAAATAAAAATAAAGTTATAAAAGATTTCTATTTCAAATAAATGCTAAATACAAATGCTGCTTTTTGAGGTTTCCATTCATAAAAGAATCCTAAAAAAATAAAAATTATCAAAGTTTTCGCAAAAATATTATGGAGCCACATTGATAATAATCAGCAAATCAGCATATTAGGATGATTTCTGAAGGATCATGTGACAATGAATGATGCAGAAAATTCAGCTTTGATCAGAGGGATAAATTACATTTTAATATATATTCACATAGAAAACACTTATTTTAAATTGTAAAATATTTCAAAATATTACTTTTTTCTGTATTATTGATCAAATAAATGCAGCCTTGGTTAGCCGAAGAGACTTCCTTCAAAAACATAAAAATTTTTAATTATTCCAAACATTTGAAAGATAATGTATGTCTTCATTATGATATCTAGATAAGTGTGTGTGTGTGTGTGCGTATGCACCTCTGTGTTCTCAGCCAGATTGTTGAGGGTCTAACGAGACTCATTTTAAATGAGCAGATGGCTCATCTAATAGCACACATTTCAGGAACACACACACGCTCATCTAGAAGATTTCCACGTGACATCTTGTGTTACTTAATCTCATTTGTGCCGCTTCACATGACGGCGTTGTGAAATACATATGTGGGCTCGTGTGTGGGTCTCATCTGCTCATTGTCTTCAAAGATACAGTTATCTAATTTAAGAAATAAATAATTTCAGAAATAAAAGTGTAAATTATAACTTGCCGTGAATAATACTGCAATGTAATTATCTCCTGTAGAGGGAGTGTGTGCTCTCGCCCGCTTTAATTGATGGTGTGTTTCCCCAATGAAGAAGAAAAAAGGTCTTTAAAAGTTTGGGATTTGTAAGATCTTTTTTAAATGTTTTTGAAGTTTCTTATTGCTCATCAAGGCTGCATTTATTTGATCAAAAATACAGTAAAAACAGTAATATTGTGAAATATTATTAATATTAATATAATTTATTCCTGTGATGCAAAGCTGAATTTTCAACATCATTACTCCTGTCACATGATGATTTGTTTCAGTGCACCTGATTGTAATGCATTTAATGAAATTCTTATGATGATGAAAATAGATTAACTCAGATTTCATACACAAGGAAAATGTATTTACTTATTTAAAGCTGAAATGTGTCACTTTTGCACCACTAGTGGCATCAAACTCAATATCAAAAATAACGATTGTTTCTAAACAAGCGTTCCTCACGTTTTTCGTTAATCCAACAGATAGATCAATAAGTCTGAGACTTAAAGGAATCGTTCGCCTATAAATGAAAACTAGCTGGCAATGTCCTCACCCTCAGGCCATCTGAGATGTAGATGAGTTTGTTTCTTCATCAGATTTGGAGAAATGTAGCATTACATCAGTGTCTCAGCAATGGATGCTCTGCTGTGAATGGGTGCCGTCAGAATGAGAGTCCAAACAGCTGATAAAAACATCACAATAATCCACAAGTAATCCACAGCACTCCAGTCCATCAGTTAACGACTTGTCCAAGCTGATGCTGGATGTGTTTCAGCTTTTGTCTTCTCCAGATGTTAACTGATGGACTGGAGTGCTGTGGATTATTGTGATGTTTTTATCAGCTGTTTGGACTCTCATTCTGACGGCACCCATTCACTGCAGAGCATCCATTGCTGAGACACTGATGCAATGCTACATTTCTCCAATGAAGAAACAAACAATCTATATCTGGGATTTTCACATTTTCATTTCTGGGTGAACTAGACGTAACTCAGAACTCTCAGAAATCTCTGAAAGAGCCGGAGTCTCATTTATAAACGTTGCATACGCACAAAATGGGCATAGAAATATGCGTACGCAATTTTCCACGCACATATCGAGATTTATAAAAAATAAATTTGGACAGACAATGCTATATACACTGCAATAAATACAGGCCTAAAAATAGCTAAAAGATATTCACCTTATCAGCAAAACTGCATACATTTGATTTGAATTGTTTAAAACAATTGAAATACTATTTGGCCAGTGGAAAAGAATGACATCAACTCCATTCTAAAATATTTATCTGGGAACTATTTTAAACAGTTTTGTTTTTATGGATATTTTGATATATTTATTCTAAAACATAACAAGGATACTGGATGATTTTTAGCAGTAAAAATTGTGTATGGCACAAATGGCATTTATAGTCCGTATCTCATATTTCCATAATGTCTTGTACCTTTGACGGTGTTAAACATGGTGTCACATGGATGGAATGTGCATGGAAATTATATGCAGATGAAGTTATGCATAGTAAAACTAGGTGTTGTAAACTCCATATATGGTGATTTCGGGGAGGAGACGGGATGGAGATGCACGTATGCACAATCTTCCCCTGAATGGGATTTATAATGGGATTTTTGGAGTTTTATAAATGAGACCCCTGGCTATTTTCATCTGGAGGATGTTGTTGATTATATCATCTCATACTGTGAGCTGGATTGTTTCTCCTGACGTCTGTCATCTCTCTCTGCAGTTATTTGCAGTCTGACGCCAGTAAGATGTTCCAGCGCTGCATCATAGACATGCAGGAGGATCCAGAGATCATCTCCACGATGCTCATGCCAGGTAAGAGCGTGTGGGCCACATCATTTATTAGTTTGCTTGTTTAAAGCTGAATGCGTCTGTCTCAGCCTGTAGGCAGAAGGAATTAAACACGAACCCTGGAGCCGAAAGCGCTGGCTGTTGATCTTTAATGAGAAGTTATGATGCTTCATCTCTCTAATATCTACCTGTTTGTTTCTCACAGCATCCTGGTGGATCATGACAAACAACTAACAGCAGCAAGAAAACACCCTTCACCGCCCACCGCTGAACCCCGATCTGAAACATCACCCCAGTGTGTCTTTGAATTAATAACTAGACCTAAAAAATCAGATGAATCATCTGTACGTGTGACACACACACCGTTTTTGTGTTGCATATTATTGATAACATCTGTCTGATAGTCCACTGAAAACAAAACATGTTACACAGGGTTGTGCATCATTCAGAACTGAATTCAGATGCTTTTACAAACAAGTTCTATTTCCTAAATTTGAATCGAATTTGCAAACAGGAAGCAAAAATGTTTGAATTCAGAGAAAATGTAAAGAAATTCATATAAATGCTGTAAAAGTATTTTAAATGATTTCATTATTTTGTTATGTTTAATTATTGAGCTATTTAAGTTTTGAATTTAGAGAAAAATTAAAGATATTTAATATGAATGCTGTAAAAGTATTTTAAATAATTTATTTCATTATTTTATTATGCTAAAATATTGAGTTATTTAAATTTTGAATTCAGAGAAAATGTAAAGAAATTAATATAAATTCTGTAAAATTATTTTACATTTATTTAATTATTTTCTTATATTTAATTGAGTTATTTAAAATTTTAATTCAGAGAAAATTCTAAGAAACTAATATAAATGCATTAAACATATTTTAAATAATTTCATTATTTTATTATATTTCATTATTCAATTTTAATAAAATAAAATGTATTTTATTAAAACAAAATTCATTTAATTGCACTTTAATTATTTAAGATATATCAATAGATTCATATTTTAATGGTAATATTTATTTTGTATTATTTTTAAAAAGATTTAATAATTATTTTTAAGTTGTCTGGTGTTCAGTTTTTTGGTAAATATTTTAATTGCTTTGAAAATTTTAACTCATCAGTTGAGAAAAACAAAATGCATCTACATGACATATGCATAATTAGCCAAAAATAATGCTGTAAATATCAATGTTTTAGAGCTTATGTTGAACTAATTAAATTCCTCAGTCTGTATTGAATTTCTTTGGAATTGCAATTCAGTAGATTCTCAATTCAGCATCCGTTTCAATTCAGATTCACACTCATGAATGGAAAGGATCTGAATCTTCAGCTCTAAATCGTGCTCAACTCGACGCTAACAGGCATGGGTTTAATATTCCTCGCATGTATAACAAATCAAAGCGTATTTGCTCCATTATGTGACCGAGCTTTTGAAGCCAGTAGCTTTGATGCAGATACAGCGAATCTCAGAGCAAAACAACACAAAGAAAACAAGAATTCATGTGTTCTTGTAAATAATTAAGATAACACTAGCAAAATGATCTGCTACTTGAGTCTAACACCTTTAAAGGCACTTTTACTTCTCTGGATGCTGGAACATGAAGCTGCATGCCGATTAGGAGATGTTTTTTAGAGTGTCAGTTGATTTGCAAAGAACATGTCGATCACAGATTATTTCTCAAGACAAGTTTGAAATATTTGAGTCGAGTGTGAATAGAATAGACATTTCATGGAGATGTACAGTCTTGTCATTTCTCTGTAAACCTGCCTAAAGGCATTTAGAGGACTAGTTCACCCAAACTAATCATTCTGGCATCTTTTACTCGTTTCAGACATATGTCATATGTGTTTGAACCATAGAGGAAAATTATAATAATAATAACAATATAACATATATATATATATATATATATATTTTTTTTTTTTAAATATATTTCAAAATATACAAAAAAATTGCCAATTTTTTTTTTTTACTAAAATATGTTTCAAACTATATTTAAGTAAATATATTTTCTGACAATAGATTTTTTTGGTCATTATTTCTATATTTTTGAAAATATCTTCTAAAAATAGAAATACATTTTTAAAAAGCCCCCCATATATTACAATCCAAGAAAATATATTCACATATGTCACATTTGAATATTTGTTGTCTATAACGTGTGAGCATATAACACATTTGAATAAAAATAAATAATGAATAAAGCCTAAATGTAGGCTACTGTAAGATTGAAAATGTATTTTCTTGTGCCTGAAATACATTTTGAAATATATATTGGTATATGGAAATTGAAACGAAATATATTTCAATAATTTGATAAATATATTTAATTAATTTTCACTGTTTACAACATATTTAGCATTTATTTTAAATATATTTTGGCCAGGTAAATATATATATATATATATATAAATATATTTTTTAGGTGAGTAAATGATGATTTTCGGGTGATCTATTTCTTTACTTTACTACATGGACACTATAAGATCCTGGTTTGACTGTCTTATTGAACATGGAAACCTGCTAGTTGTTGTACTATTTATGCATCTTAACTGAAAAACAGAAACTTTACCTTTTTGCTTTAGTTTTGTTACTTTATGTGGTTTATTCCATTGAATGACAATAAAAGACGAACAATTATTTTGTTCAGCCATTTCAGATTTTAAACTTCCTAATATCCTTTGGATCACGGTGTTTGTGAATTTATGAATATAAAGCGGCATGCTAGACTCTCAGAAGTCAGAAATATTATAGTGACATCTTTCCAAGTAATTAGTAAAGATCCTTTCGCTCTCTCATAATCACACGGTTCAGTGTTTTTTCTTCCTTATACGTCTCAGTGCATGGCGTTTCTGAAATGATGCAGAAACATTCAGCGTTCAGACGACAGACAGTAATTGGGACTTTTAAGTTCTTGTCAACAAGAGTAATTGGACAGTGATTAAAAAATGTGCAAAAAATTACATGCACTTGAATTAATACTAATAAATGCTTCCTTATTTATGACAGGACTATATAACATTTCATAAGAGCTTAACATTAATGGCATTAACAGTGTCACATTAGATGATGCTTAACAGATCAGTAGTTAAAGCAATAGTTCACCCAAAAATGAACAATTACTGAACATTTACTCACCCTCAGGCCAGATGTAGATGAGTTTGTTTCTTCATCAGGTATGGAGAAATGTAGCATTGCATCAGTGTCTCTGCAGTGAATGGGTGCCGTCAGAATGAGAGTCCAAACAGCTGATAAAAACATCACAATAATCCACAGCACTCCAGTCCATCGGTTAACATCTGGAGAAGACAAAAGCTGAAACAAATCCAGCATTAACTTCAAACTCTTGCTTCTGACCAAAATACAAGTCCATAATCCATAAAAATGCTTTCTTGGATGTCCTGAGGGCGAGAACAATTTCAACAAATTTTAATTTTGGGGTGAACTATGCCTTTAATATATATACACACACACACACACACACACACACACACACACATATATATATGATATTGATAAATCAAGTGTGATAACATATGTATAAAAATGAATAAAATGTGTAGTGGTTTTCTGGTTTGGAGCAAACTTCCATACTACTTTTAATTCTTTAGAAGTATGTACACTGCATAATATGCTAAATTTGTATATGCAAAAATAAATAAATAAATATATACACACATACAATATAATAGTGCAGTACTTAATAAGCTGATGCTAGTATTGATTGTGAACATGTGCTTTTCTCCCTTTCTTGTGGTGTTTGGAACTCGTTGTTAACTAAAACTAAAACCATAAAACTAAATTTTCGTTACTTCAAATAAAAGTAACTAAGATCAAATAAAATATAAATGCAAAGGAAATATTTCTCATTTTCGTTTAGTTGAACTTTAAGGGGCCTACTAAAATAAATAAAACTAAACCTGAACTAAAATTAATCAAAACCATATGTGCTAGACATAAAGATGACAAAACACAAAAAAATTACAGCTTTAAAAATTAAAATGAAAACGGAAAATATAAAAGCTAATTAAAAATATTGATTAAAAAAAATGTGTGTTTGTGCTCATTAGTGGCTGCAGGTGTTTCGCGTTAACTGAGAGCTTAAAACCCCTCCGTTTGAGCCCGACTCGAAAGACAACGTGTGAGAGTGTGACTGAAGGAAAGTGTGTGATTATTGAGAGAGTGAGAAAACTGGTTTAAAACAGAGAAAATGTGAGTGTGAAACCCCAAAAATCTAACTTCTACTGCATCAATCTGAGCAAAGCCTTGAGTTAAAGAGTAGGTCTGGAGTGTCTCAATCTCAATTCCACCCTGATTTCATTAAATGATTAGAGTTGCTAGAGAAGAAGGTTAAATCACATCATGCAGCGCAGCATCTGCTGAGAATCCAGAAAGATCTCGACCTGATCCTGCATCAAATCAATGGATTGATTAGCCTACTGTTGGAGCTCGTATTGCACCACAAAATCAAATAAGTAAAGAAAACCATGCTATTTTTATTTGTGCACTGTATAGCATTAGGTTATTTAATGAAATTAAGCACATTTTCACAGAATGTGACCTTTTTCAACATGCATTGTGCGATCAGATTTGGGCTTCGTGTGTTTATTAAGAGCTGAACAGGGTTTTCTGTCGTGTGTCAATGCACTGTGAAGGACAAATCCAAGCCAGAAGTGCTTGCTGAAGCGATAACATTATGATTTCCATTCAGATGTTATTTCTGGACTGGTTTTTGTGATCGTGACTGTCATTGATACGTTTAATCATGTCGAGTTGTTCTGAAACACTCTTAAATGTCAAGCAGCTTTATTACAGTATCATGATGACAGAGGAGATGTTTGTGAAGACGACACACACACACACAACTCCGTATAGCTATCTTTGAGGACATACATTGACACAATGCAATCTCTAGCTCCTTACCCTAAACCTACCTATCAGAACTAAGTGTCTCACCCAAACCCTTACCCTAATCCTACCCTTTACCCAATTATAGCCTAACCCCAAAAACCAAGTCTTGACCCTCAAACAGGCCTTTAAAGGGCTCTCAGAAAGTGAGGACCTGCCAAAATGTCCTCACTTTACAAGATTGTCCTCACTCTGATGGTCTAAAACTCAAATTGGCCCTCTTCAGTCTCTCTCTCTCACACACACACACACACACATCTGCATGTCATGAATGACTAACCCACGCTGTCTTTCTTCATTAACGTTAATGTTCAAATCTCCAAAGCATCGAAATATAAGGGAGTCTGTTCACTCAAAAATCATTATTCTCAAACTACAAAACAAAAACTCAATGTGGGCTGCATTTCAAGAACTCAAAATGCAACGTGATGGTAAAACCACGGTATATGATTTTAAACTTTTTGAAAAAAAAATGCATGTTGAAAATCCATGAAATTAGAAAACATTTCGAGTCAAAAAATTTAGGATTTTTAGTTTTGTTCAAGATGAGAAATTAATATTTTTCCCCAGTAACTGTTGAATGAATGGTATGGGTCCCAAAAACAAAGATTAAAGACCAGCTGTGGTCAGAAACACTTGATGGTGCAGAAAACCAGTTGTTTTCCATGAGTGAATGTGAAAAGTGATACATGCTCCAATCACAATTTAGATTAATTAATGAAATATCCCTATCATTTATTGCTTCTTTATCTGCATCATGTCATTATAAACCCTCAGGGGCCTTTTGATCCAGACAGATCCTTTTATATTTAGCCTACATGGTTTTTAATCCACAAATTCAGCTACAATTGGCCATAAATCTGCAGTGGGTTGCTCATGTTGTGTAAAACATGTAGGTTGACTCAATCCATAGACTGAAGCTGATCAAATCAGTGTGTTTCTGTCATCTAGTGGTGGAAAGTGGAAAAGCACTTGTGCAGTTACTATGGTAAACATTAGTTCAGAATATCTACTGTAAAACCACACTATGTTAATATAATATATGTTATTCCTGAAATTGTGTGTAAGCCATTTTTAGAATCTTTCATACAGTGCAAATGACTTATAGTTTATTCATGTAGTACATCAAAGTTACGGAAATGTTAATTTAAGGTGGTATTATTATTATTATTATTATAACCATGGGTTAACATGTCCCTGCATGTCATTTTCATCTCTTTAGAGGTCACTAAATCTCATCTCAACACATTTCTTGAATAGTTTTGCTCTTAATAATAGTCTTCTCATCTGAAAATAAATATTTGTGATTTATTCTCCTCAGTTTTGAGGTTTAACGTTGAAAATTTATTTTATGTTTGATGTTACACTGTATATTTGTTAACACAGGATTTGTGGACCTAGTGATTAATTTATGTAGTAATAAATTATTTCAATAATAATAATACATGTGTGTGTATATAATATATATAGTATGTAATTTTTACAAATAATTTAACAATTAAATGTAAATTTTCTTTTTTTTAGATTTTCTCAAAACAGATTTTTTTTATAATAATTTTTTTCTAATGTAGAAAAAAATATATATTAATATACCTAGTCAGTGCAACAACGATGCACCTTACAATTATAATTAAACAGATGGATTATCAAATTAGCCAAATAGTAAACTTATGTGTTTCTTTTTTTCCAACTGTCTTTTAAACTTTTTTTTATGTTATTACTCTACAAAATACAGTAAAACCTCCATGACATGATCAAATCCACTGTTCAAACAAACACAACGATCGTCGAAGCCTGAGCTCACGTTAATGTCTTTATTTTTTAATATCTACTTCATACCAATATTCAAGGATTCTGAAAGAAACGAATGTCACAGAGTAGCTCACAAAATAAACATTCTCTTGCACCGTTATATTTTACACATTCTTATAATAAAAAAAATAAATCAACATGTGGTTTACCGAACGAAACGAAGGTAGCTGAAGACGTCCACGTGGAAATCAAAGAAAAGGAACAGCCTCGACTCTACAAGTGGAACAAAAATAAAAGTATATACATATAACATCCTCCTGAGATCGCAGAGCTTTGCATGTGGATACAAACAGACCAGCTCAAGACCTGGTTTGGTGGATTAATCTGTACCGGAAACTGATGATCGTACATCTGGACCCTGATCAAGACTGGTCCCTTCAGACCAGGGTTTGTTTTCCACGTTTAACACACACACATTCTCTATGGCAACTCTGATAACACTGTCAGATAATAATGAACAGATCACAGCATTGACCGCTTTGGTGAATCCATCACTTTTATATTGCTCTGATAATGTATTTACAGACACAATCACACACACATACAAACAAACGCTCACGAAACACTGACAACAGTTTGTGCGGGTAAAACAGATCACATTTGCACCAAATAAGCAAGCTGAGTCACGCAGAGCGGTGCCAAAAACACGTCCTCCTGTCCATGAACTGGAAAAGTGTGTGTGACTGTCCAGCTTCTGTCACATCCAGCAGTTAAACTCCTCTTTCATCGAGTCCTTGGCTCTCAGTGTCCGCTGGCGTCTGGCGTGGAGGAGGACGCTGGTGTGGATGCTCTGGAGGTCTTCTCCAGGCCTGGACTCGGGACCGGGCCGCTCTCCGGAGCTTTGGCCAGGACGCGTGGCATGGATTTGGGCTGCGCCTGGAGCCCCGGGCTGCAGATGAGATGGTGTCGCTCCCAGTCCTTGTGCTGACAGAAGGAGCCGCAGTAACGCGCCGCATTACAGCCGCTGCACGTCTCGCTCGCCTTCCGACCGCAGTTCCAGCAGCACTGAGAACCAGAGAGAAAATTACAGCTTACAGCATTAGAAATATATAAACATTACACGTTTAAACATAATATTAAACAAATGCGTCTAGAAATATCTTTAATCAGCAAAGACACATTAAACGTGACATTAAAACTGACCTATAAATATATGTGTGTGTGTGTGTATAAATATTTGAAATGAAAATGATTGAAATTATTTAATGAATATAAAATTAATATGTGACCCTGGACCACAAAACCAGTAAAAGAACCCAATGTTGATTCAATCAGGCGAATGTTTGCATTATAATGAGCCTCATTTGCATAAAAAGGAAGGCCTCATTTAAATATTCATGACACATTGTTGTATCGGTGCAGACGCAGCGTCTGTGGTTGGTGACTGAATTAATGTGTGTTTAGCGTGACTCTCACCTCGCTGGAGTCTTCCTGCTCGTTGATGACCTGTATGGCGTCTTCGGTGGCTTTCCTCTTGGCCTCGGCGAGGGTTTTCTCCATCTTGGCTCTCTCGGTGGTGATCATCTCGAAGGCTTTCTGCTCGGCATCGGCGACGGCCTTCTGCACCTCGTCCATCGCCTGACGCTTCACCTCGTTCACCGCTTCCTCTGAAGAATCAAACCACACATGCATAAACATCCTGTTTCATGCACGCTATTTTCTTGCGATAGAACAAGAATCAATATCCAGCAGAGAGCTTTGAGTCTGAAAGTGTGATTAATGAGAAACAAGACTGATGAACAGGTGGTAGGGGAGAAAACAGGTTTCCCAGGGTGCATCTGGGTTGCTGCCCTTACCAGCTTTCCTCCATATCTCATCAGGCACGTAGCCAGAGCCGGCGCGCAGGGGAAGATCCCTCTGAGAGTCTGTGGGGGACAAAAACAAATATATTAGTAGCGAATTAGCACTGAAATGCTTTAGAGGAGGGATGGATATGGAGGCACGTGAGCCACTTTGAGAGTTTGGGCAGCGTTTGGTCACAGATGGCGGAGAGGAACGCGGCCAGACCTCGGCGCTTGAGACGATATTCTCTCAGCCTGGACCCAAATACACAACACCTGCTCCATCAGCAGGCTCTCTCTCTCTCTCTCACACACACACACACACACACGCACACAATTTCATCTGTTAGTTGGGTTTTAAAAGACACTTAAAGAGACGGTTCACCCAAAAATGAAAATTCTGTCTGCTCTAAACCTGTACGAGTTTCTTTCTTCTTCTGAGCACAAAAGAAGACGTTTTGAAGAATGCTGGTGACCAAACAGTTGACGGTAGCCATAGATTTTTTTTTCCATACAATGGAAGTCAATGGTTGGACAATCTCTTTAATATTCAATAATGTTATCAATCTGACTGCACTGAAACTATCGGAGGAGAACAAAACTTGAACTGATTGAGCTGAATGATTAATTTATCGTCTTCTGTAGCGCTGCTTTACAGCCGAATCAGATTTGTTCATAATTGATGCATTTTGATTCATTTTGTGTTGTTGAACTGAATCAGCACTGAATAACGACACCGCTGTCTTTAATTATCGCTGAATTTAACTGGTTTCATAATGAATGAACTGAATCAACACTGAACTGAATAATGACAGTATTGTCTTTTAAGAGCTGCTTTACAGCTGAATTTGTCTTCATTGATTCTGTTGTTTATCACTTTGAAGCTGCTTTGAAATGTATAAAGCACTATAGAAATCAAGGTGAATTGACATGGGAGCGAATGAGTTGACCATCACCACCACTAGAGGGAACTTGTTTTACGCTCTGGAAAATTGCCTCAAACTCTACAAATTAAGTTTGTGAGTAAAGACGGTAACAGGATTCAAATGAAAGGTCTGCAGCAAAAAAGGTCAAAGTTGGAACATGATTCTGAACTCCTGAGCGACTCACCTGCGTTGACTCCCTCTGCTGACAGAGGGCTGTGTGTCTTGCTGAACGGGGCGTTCCCTGCGGCCGATCCGTTCTTGCGCCCGTCGTCGTGTGGGTTTGAGCGTCGTCGCCAGTAATTGAGCTCCTCGCGGTCGGACTCCTGACAGCGCCGCAGAACGCTCACCGAACGCCGCGTCTTCTCCACCATGTCCACAATGCAGTTCAGCACCTCTCTCTCTCTCTCACACACACACACACACACACGCACACAATTTCATCTGTTAGTTGGGTTTTAAAAGACACTTAAAGAGACGGTTCACCCAAAAATGAAAATTCTGTCTGCTCTAAACCTGTACGAGTTTCTTTCTTCTTCTGAGCACAAAAGAAGACGTTTTGAAGAATGCTGGTGACCAAACAGTTGACGGTAGCCATAGATTTTTTTTTCCATACAATGGAAGTCAATGGTTGGACAATCTCTTTAATATTCAATAATGTTATCAATCTGACTGCACTGAAACTATCGGAGGAGAACAAAACTTGAACTGATTGAGCTGAATGATTAATTTATCGTCTTCTGTAGCGCTGCTTTACAGCCGAATCAGATTTGTTCATAATTGATGCATTTTGATTCATTTTGTGTTGTTGAACTGAATCAGCACTGAATAACGACACCGCTGTCTTTAATTATCGCTGAATTTAACTGGTTTCATAATGAATGAACTGAATCAACACTGAACTGAATAATGACAGTATTGTCTTTTAAGAGCTGCTTTACAGCTGAATTTGTCTTCATTGATTCTGTTGTTTATCACTTTGAAGCTGCTTTGAAATGTATAAAGCACTATAGAAATCAAGGTGAATTGACATGGGAGCGAATGAGTTGACCATCACCACCACTAGAGGGAACTTGTTTTACGCTCTGGAAAATTGCCTCAAACTCTACAAATTAAGTTTGTGAGTAAAGACGGTAACAGGATTCAAATGAAAGGTCTGCAGCAAAAAAGGTCAAAGTTGGAACATGATTCTGAACTCCTGAGCGACTCACCTGCGTTGACTCCCTCTGCTGACAGAGGGCTGTGTGTCTTGCTGAACGGGGCGTTCCCTGCGGCCGATCCGTTCTTGCGCCCGTCGTCGTGTGGGTTTGAGCGTCGTCGCCAGTAATTGAGCTCCTCGCGGTCGGACTCCTGACAGCGCCGCAGAACGCTCACCGAACGCCGCGTCTTCTCCACCATGTCCACAATGCAGTTCAGCACCTACAACCAGAGACGACAGAAAAACTTAAGAGCACAAAATTCACAATAGATTGAAACTTGCATATACATACATTACATACTTGGACTCATTTATTCTCTTTAGCCTATGGTGTTGCTTGAGAATATTGGGTTATAAAGTTGTTTATGGTTTATTTTGCATGCTTTTATTTGTATCTTATGAGTTTTTTAATTTGCTGTTGCTTTTGATATTATTTAATTGTTTATAAATTGTACAGCACTTTGGTTCAACACTTGTCATTTTTAAATGTGCTTTATAAATAAACGTGAACTTGAGTTACTATATTATATACTTACTATTTAATATAATGTTATGTATGAATTAAAAAATATTTGATCTGTCATTTGAAAAAGTAAAATTAAGTAAGTTAAGCAGACTTGACTAACACTCATATGTTTTTTGTTGTTGATTTTTTTATTTTTTTATTTCATACACCACGGTGTTACCAGATGAATCTCAGAAATGAAGCCCTATTTTATGACTATGATTTGTTTTGCATTATTTTCAGGACAATTAAACACATTTTTCCTCCCAAACTCTCAGTATATTGCATGTTGGATTTTTTGCTTTTGAGTTTGTTTCTGATTCTCATCATCAGTGATGATTCTGATTAAATTCTCAGAACTGAAATAAAATTATTTAAATCAGCATAAATTTAAAGCATTTTAACAAATACTATCATGATAGTTCAGTTTAAAAAATATACATGTTTTGTATTAAAGTAATGAGTTTTTTTGTCTGTTTTTTTTTTGCATTACAGTAATAAGTGTTTCATTGTGTGCTTAATTTTAACTAAAATTATTTGAAAATAATTAAAATAATATAAGTATTAGATGGAAAAACGTAAACGTTGCCTTGGCAACTCACTGAAAAAAGTTTTAGTTAAATTACTACAACTGAAATACAAATAAATTACAGGTAAATTCACAAAATAAAATGACAAAAACAAAATTACTAAATTAAAATAAAAACTGAAAATATAAAAAATAAAACCATAATAGTAAATACATTAAAATAACACTAAAATATATATATATTTTTTTATTCTTGATTTTCAGGTGAAATACAAGCCAGGTTTCGTGAGATTCACTTCCATGGTGCTTTTTTGTAAGAATTATCAAGAAATGCAGTCTTACGTGATCCAGATGTCTCCATTCTTCAGCCCACTCTCTGTCTGTCAGTCTGTGGTCTACAGGTTCCTCACGGAAGCCTCCGTTACTGCCTGAAAACATCGACAAAACACCTCAGATCTTCAAAACTTCAGAAGCAGTCAAAGCTTTCTGCTCGTATTGTGTGTAGTTACCTGTCAGCCGCGGCCGCTCCTTCAGCTCCGGGACCCGCTGCGGCTCTCTGTACAGGTGAGGTGTGCTGATGTCATCCAGCGCGTAGTGCTGCAGAGGGGGCGGAGTCGGGTGCATCTGGGCGGGGAGCTGCAGCGGGTGGGCGGGGCTGTGTCTGGGGGCGGGGCTAATGGTGCAGATGCGCTTGGCAGGAGGCTCCAGGGAGGCGGGAGGACGCTCGTGGAAACCATTCTCTTTACTTCTGGAGTAAATCATAAAAAATAAATAAGAGACAAATCCCTAATAACACTTTTGGACCTGTACAATGACAATACCAGGGGTTTTGAAACACCTTACAGTAAACAATGTAGCTCCTCAGAAACAGTTGTGGTTGCTACAAAGTGGTTGCCGAGCAACACACAAACCTAAACAAAGGTGTGTGTTACTTTGTAGCGTCATTTACAACAGCTTCGAACGCGGCTCAGCCAATCAGAGTCAAGCACCGGAACTCTTCGCTTTATATATATCAAAGTGCAATTCCTAGTAATACTTACAAAAAGTACCATGGCCATACCATGCTTTTTGGACATTTTACCATGGATAATACCATGTTTGTTAGTTTGCTTGTTTATTTATTTTAATACTGTGGCAATTCCATGCTTTCTTAGATATGTACCATGGCATGCAATGTTATTTTGCTCATGGTATCATGGAAATGCCATGTTTTTGGACTAAAAGCTTGTGATTTTGAACGTTTGGAAATAAATAATATAAGACATAAAAATAAAAGTGTAAAATAAACTTTATTAAAATATCACATTATATTTTTTTATTTTACAGTTTTGTCATTTTAGTATTTATATACAATTATAGCTTTTATTACTATTTTAAATTAGCTTTTAATTTAAGCTTTTAGTTTAATTGTAGTTAAATTTTTTGTAATGTGCTTTTGTCATTTTTATTATTTATTTTAAATAAATATTTCAATTTAAATAATTATATTTAATATTATTATTATTATTAGGTTTAATGTATTATTTTTATTTCAGTTTTAGTTTTAGTTCAGTTTCAGATTTTATTCATTTCCAGTTATTAATTTTAGTTTTTCGACTTAATTCAGTTAGTTGCAAATTTAGTTCAAGTTTTCCATCTAATATTTATATTTTATTTTATTACAGCTTTATTTAAATTAACAAAATTTGTAATAGTTTTAACAATAATAACCCTGTTTACTGTAATTTACAACTGTAATGTATTTCTGTCTTCCTTTTTTATAATTAGTCAAAAAATGTTGCCACAGTAATATCATGGTATTCTTTTGAAATGCCTTGCAAAACTATGCTGAAATCATGATATATGAAAGCGTAAGTTTACTATAGTACTGCCATGGTATTTATTTTAAAGGAAAGCTGAGGGGTTTATTTCTCAGGCATCTGGCATTAGAACTAGTACACCGTTGTCGCTTGTGAAATCAAAATGACGGTGCAATGGGTGGAAACGTGCAGATTAAGGAGCGCTAATATTATAATGAGATCCCTTTGCCACGTCACCAAGGGAGTGATTTTTTCTCAGACGCTTGCAGAAAAAAAGCTTGTCAAAACAAAGTTACTGGGTTAATCTTTTTCACGTTTGCTTGGTTGGTAGATGCACCGGGGACCTGATTATAGCACTTACAACCTGGAAAAGTCAGATTTTCATGATATGTCACCTTTAAAGTCTGACCACCACATTTTTGGCATTTTTCCTGATAAGAGTGGAGATAAAGGTCAAGAGGATTCGTTCCTCGACAGACTTGGAGGAGCCGCGCCGAGCGTGCAAACTCAAAGCAGATCGCGCCCGAGGCGTCTGTTCAGCGTCACTGCACGTTCTGCTCGCCATTATAGCTCCAGACCGCGATTTACACCAACATCTCATCAAAATAGTCAATAAATCTTTCATATGAAAACACTTAAGTTCAGCCTCAGGAGGATGGAAACGGAGAAGAGTAACAATCGGCAAGACGAAACAAACCAGAGCCAGCGGTTCATTTCTTACATGATGAGCATGTGAGTCTGATTACTAATGTGAAAAAATGAAGAATATCAGACTGTTATCTGGCAAACACAAGGGGTGTAACTTTTAAAAACCATGAATTAACACATCTCGCTCTCAGTAAAACATGCTAATTCGACTTCTGCGAAAATGATTCAGTGATTCATTGAAGTTGTCACTCAAAAATGAAAATACAGGCAGAATTGTATGCATTTCCATTCAATAAAAAGGGACAGATGCTCCTCATATCACTGTGCTTTGAATTAAATCATATCATATATAACAAATGGGTTTGATTTTAGTTGTCATATTTACTGATTATGATGTTATCACTATAAATGAGCCACGACAAGTGTTATTTTAGTATTATTTATATACTGTATTTTTCTATAATTTAAATTACCTTTTGTTTTATATTTTCCCTTTTCATTTTTAATTTTATTTTAATGTTTAGTCATTTTGATATGTGCATTTTTTCTTCTTCATTATTATAATTTTTTTAACATTACTATTTAGGTTTAATTTTATATTTTTATTAAAGTATTCATTTTATTCAAAGTTTTAATTTTTATTTATATCAAGTTATTTTAGTGCTTTTGTTTTATATTTTCAGTTTTCATTTTAATTTTAGTTTGTTTTAGTAATTTTGATATGTGCTTTTTTATGTTTTATTATTATTATTTCTTTAATATAACCATTTAGGTTTAATTTGATTGTTTTTTAAGTTTACAATTTTTATTTCAAGTTATTTTAGTGCTTCAACTTAAATTTATTTCAGTGAATTTTTCAATCAATTTCTGATTTTTAGTTTGTTTAAACATTTTTTTATTATTTTAGCTTTGTTTAAATTTGTCAAAAACGATTTAATAGATTTAGTTGCAGTTAACAATAATAACCCTATTTTTCTCCACATCAATTTTGCAAGAGCTCCAAAAAATGAATGAGTGTTGTGTTTATGGTTTGAATATGTTTTCTTACAGTCAAGTGATTCTCAAGTTGGTTTGACTGAATCATTGAAAAGAACCACATCAAAAGAATGATTCGTTTGATCACTAAACAGTTCATTACTGGTGATAATCAAAACAATTCCGTTTTCAAGGAATACATTAAACATGATATCCGAAGAAAATGGTTTGGAAGGCTTTAAAATGTTTTCCAAACACATCCAAACCAGGACAAGAATCTCTGTAGTTTTTATTACTAGTGCGACAGACACGATTGACTCGGTCCTCCTCTCACATATGCGTCTGTCATTCACGTTCTCACGAGCTCCATATGCAGCGCAGCCCTGTAAAAAACCTGCAACGGTTTATAGTTGTGTTTCACACTTCCGACCGCCTGGAATTCTCGGAAGTCTCAGTCTGCTCCGTAAATTACCAAAGGAAACACGAGACACCTTCCACTTTCTCCGTTCAGCATCCCTATCATGCATGCTATCATAAAATCACTGAATTCAATCAGCTTCAGGGATTCACTAATATCGCCAAATCAACATTCCTGCTCGCATATGGACGGTTTTATTGCACTTTATGGTTTTTATGTCCTTTTTTGAGATTGACTGACCTTGAGTCAAACGGTTGTGGACAGGAGAGTAATTTTAATTAAGAATTTTGCTCTCTGTTTTATTTTTTTTTAAATATATTTTTATAATATTTTCAGTATGCATAATATTGTTTATATTAAAATATTACTATTTAGGCCCCATTTCTTTTTAGCTCAGTTCTAGCTTTTATTTATTTCTAGGTAGTAATTTAGTGCAACTAGTTTTTCATTCAATTGCTGATTTTTAGTTCAAGTTTAACATTGAAACACCCATCTCATATTTATATTTAATTTTAGTTCAGCTTTATTTCAATTCAACACAAATGTGTTAATAGTTCAAGTTAAAATCATCTAATTCAAGCAGCTTCACATCAGTTTCATCCTGAATATATTTTCAGGGATTCACTAAAATCAACATTCCTGCTTTCATATAGACTTTTTAAAAAAAAATTAAAAAATTTTTTTATAAATATTTTCAATAGTTATACATTTTTTAGTTTTTTATATATTTACAATATTTTTTAATACTTTTTTATTTAACATTTAGTGCTTCCATCTCATATTTATATTTTATTAAAAATTTTTATAATATGTAATATATTTACTATTTTATCCCAATTTTTGATTATTTTTTATTTGCATTTTATTTTAGTTTAGTTTGTTTCAATTTAACAAAATGTTTTAATAGTTTTCGTTTTAATTTAACATTTAGTGTTTCCATCTCATATTTATATTTTATTAAAATTTTTAATATTTCCTTTTTTTCCCTTTTTCCTATTATTTTATCCCAATTTAAAAAAAAAATTATTTGCATTTTATTTTGTTTCAATTTAACAAAAATGTTTTAATAGTTTTCGTTTTAATTTAACATTTAGTGTTTCCATCTCATATTTTTATTTTATTAAAATTTTTAATATTTCCTTTTTTTCCCTATTTCCTATTATTTTATCCCAATTTTAATTTTTTTTTAAATTTAATTTAATTTTGTTTCAATTTAACAAAAATGTTTTAATAGTTTTTGTTTTAATGTCACCTGTACCATAATAACCCTGGTTAACAACAAGGGCGAGTGACTTGCAGAATTGCCCTTTTTAAGCTCAACTATTGCTTTACTGGCCGTTTACCTTCAGGAAGGGAATGACGAAGGGCCTCAGGGGGAAGTTTGTAGCTTCTTGCAGTCTGGAGTGAAACTCTTCAATGGTGACGGTGGAGTTCTGTGGGAGAAACACATCGCTTGTTAACTCTAGCTCACAGCTGATCAAACGGTGCTCGTGAGAGGCGTGTGTGAGGGACGCACCACCAGCGCCAGCACCAGGTTTCGGACGCTCTCTCCGATCTCGGGCGAGATGTCGTTGCCGAACTGCTGCAGTGTTGTGAGGAAGCGCTTGAGTTTGCTCAGCTGTCGCGCGCCGCAGGTGGCTGGAAGCTGCTGATTGGCCAGAGAGGAGGAAGATGATGATGAAGGGCCGTTGCTGTAGCGCTGAGGTGGCGAGGGAATGGCGTTAAGCATCGGCGGAGAGTGATTGATCCCATTAGTCACTGCAGAAACAGAGAATGTGGTTAGCAATGATCTGCAAACACAGAATTAATCAACATTTTAGTATTATTTATGTACGATAATAGTTTTTATTAATCTTTTGAATTATCTTTTATAATTTATGTTTCCAGTTTTTATTTTTATTTTAGTTTTCTTATGTGCTTTTGTCTTTTTTTAAATATTACTATTTGTGTCCCTGGAGCACAAAAGCAGTGTTAAGTCGCTGGGGTATATTTGTAGCAATAGCCAACAATACATTGTATGGGTCACAATTATCAATCTTTCTTTTATGCCAAAAATCATTAGGATATTAAGTAAAGATCATGTTCCATGAATATATTTAGTAAATTTCCTACTGCAAATATATCAAAAGTTAATGTTTGATTAGTAATATGCATCGCTAAGAACTTCATTTGAACAACTTTAAAGATGATTTTCTCAATATTTTGATTTTTTTGCACCCTCAGATTCCAGATTTTCAAATAGTTGTATCTCAGCCAAATATTGTCCTATCCTAACAAACCATACATTAATGGAAATATTATTTATTCAGCTTTCAGCTGATGTATAAATCTCAATTTCAAAAAATTGACCCTTATGACTGGTTTTGTCCTCCAGAGTCACATTTATGTTAAATTTCAGTTTAATTTTTGTTTTTATTTCTTTCCAGTTAAACTTATTTTAATTAGTTTTTTTGTTTGTTTAAGTTTAATGTTTAGTTTTACCATCTCACATTTTATTTTATTTCAGCTTTATTTCAATTTAACAAAAATGTTTTTAATAGTTTTCATTTTAGTTAATGTTAATACCCGTTTTTCACCACATACATTTTCCTGAAGTGTTGTGTTTATGGCTATAATGTATGAAGCTATAGTATTTTACTAATCATAAATAACGACTCTTTCTTTCAGCAAAAACACTCTTTTCACTTTAAACTTTTGCTTTGGTTTTCCTTTGTATTTCGGCACTGCGGTTACTTGCTCCTGTAGGGTAAGTGGCTTTTTTCCTCATTGTAAGATGTTTTGCATACAAACGCATGCTAAATAATGAAATGTAAATGCACTACTATGCATTTAAAGCACTGTATGTACTTTGCTGGTAAAAGACTCTATGCCAGTATTAAGACATCTGCGTTTGTGTTCAACTGCATACTGTGAATTGCATACTACATACTGCAATTTTGACAAATAGTACACTGCATACTGCAAATTCTGACAAATGCAATAGGTTATTTGAATATTCCATGCATACAGAAAATTCCAATCTTATGCATTTCTTATGCATACTGCAGAAACGGTAGTATGTCATCCTATGGGACACACTAGTGCCAGATAGTACAGCTAGCAGCATGCATGTTTGAATGCAGTGTTGTGTGCAAGTCTCACATGCTGTGGTGGAGAAGGCTGCCGGTCGAGGTCCGCTGGGGTTGACGGAGGGTAGAGGGGGCATGACGGAGACGGTTGGTCTGGAATGAGTCTTTCCATCCACTGGGGAACCTGGCATGGCAGGAACGTTCTTCTCTGCGCTGTCTGAAAACCAGAGAGATTGAGCTGGAGACTGACAGATCACTTATTTTCATTGTAATCGCGAACATTTCTCATGAGGAGATTTCCATTAAAACCCAATAAAGTGCTGCAGATTTGTGGCAGCAGAACATCTCTGACCTCATAAAATCACCATGCAATTATTTCTTAACCGCATCCAAAACATTCCCAGAAGCACCAGTGCAAACGATGCAAACACAAATGTAGTCATTGTGTCTCAATGCATTGATATGCAATTGATATGCACTTCATGTTTAACGACACCTCCAATCCAATTGAGCCCAAACCTCTAAAAGCGGCATGCATTTCCAAGCCTGAGCTCCCTAACTAAACCCATCATCCTTTCTGCTGCACACCAGATGTTTTCTGCCCCTGTTTAAGAGCCGTGGAGTCCCGACAGCTGAAGTGCAAATGAACCAGGTTTTGTCCTCGGGAAAGAAAGGGTGATCATTGAGCCCGCTTCAGAATGGAGAATCGGGCCATTTCACGCTCGCTAACTAGGCTTCACAAAAGCCGTCAAGGGCTAAACGCATACTTTCTGCCTGTGAATGGACCACCAGGCCCAAAAGTCGTAGATCAGAGGCGCTATTGTTCTACAAGAGCCGTGAGAGAAGCTATCGGCCTCATTTGGAGTATATCAGACCGCTGGAAATGCTTTTATAAAGGCGGCTAATAGACCCACACAGATCGAGTTGTCAAAGGTCATGAAACGCTTCTTACCAGACGACTTTTCATAGACGGACAGCGCTTCTCTGGGTGAAAGGCGTGTTTTGTTTAATGTTTATTCATGGGAAACTAATGCAGTGAATGCGTTTCTCGTTGTATAGTTTTAAAATGGGCCTCTCCATTTAACAATGAAAAGTAAGGCGGCTTTTAATGGGATTGTTATAGCGCTTCATTTGTACGTTTCATTCCAGTCGCGATAAACAGACGAGTTCGTCACAGAGCAGAAAACTTGAGTGAATTGAAATATGACATTTTGCAGGTTATAGTTAATATGCTGCTATTTCTTTGTTTATACAATTTCGATTATTTCTCTATTTGTTTATGATTTTGAGTTGTGTGAAACCATAAAAAAATCATTCCTTAAAATAAAATAAACTTTTAAAAATTAAACTTATTTTATGTAACTTGAAGTACTAAAATAAATGATACTAAAATAACATCACAAAAATATAATAAGACAAATCATGTTTCTATGGAGGACAAAACCTGCAGTATAATATATAAAATATTTTTTTAAATGTATATTTTTAAATATTATGTTATATAATATACAAACAAACAAATAGGAACATATTTATTTTCCTATTATTGCATTTATTTATTTATTACATATTTATGCAAGTTTGGTCCTCCATATATTTCAAAGCATTGTTTGTGATTTGTGATATGTGACTCTGGAGCACAAAACCAGTCATAAGAGTCAATTTTTTGAAATTGAGATGTATACATCATCTGAAAGCTGAATAAATAATCTTTCCATTGATGTATGGTTTGTTAGAATCGGACAATATTTGGCTGAGATACAACTATTTGAAAATCTGGAATCTGAGGGTGCAAAAAAATCTAAATATTGAGAAAATCATCTTTAAAGTTGTCCAAATGAAGTTCTTAGCGATGCATATTACTAATCAAACATTAAGTTTTGATATATTAACGGTAGGAAATTTACAAAATATTTGAATGGAACATGATCTTTACTTAATATCCGAATGATTTTTGGCTATTGCTACAAATATACCCCAGCGACTTAACACTGGTTCAGGGTCACAAATCAAATGCTGAAGGACCAGTATATTTCATGTATTGCAATGAATCTCATTCTCATGTGCTTTTATTGTGAGTCTCCAACAAAACCATCGTCTTAACTCACTAATCGAATGCGGCACAGTCACAGGTGTGACACACTTTTGCGCGCACACACACACACACACACACACACACACACACACACTTGGGACACTTAGACACAAATCTTGTGGTTTGTGAGCACACCTGGATTTTTTTGCACCCTCAGATTCCAGATTTTCAAATAGTTGTATCTCAGCCAAATATTGTCCTATCCTAACAAACCATACATTAATGGAAATATTATTTATTCAGCTTTCAGCTGATGTATAAATCTCAATTTCAAAAAATTGACCCTTATGACTGGTTTTGTCCTCCAGAGTCACATTTATGTTAAATTTCAGTTTAATTTTTGTTTTTATTTCTTTCCAGTTAAACTTATTTTAATTAGTTTTTTTGTTTGTTTAAGTTTAATGTTTAGTTTTACCATCTCACATTTTATTTTATTTCAGCTTTATTTCAATTTAACAAAAATGTTTTTAATAGTTTTCATTTTAGTTAATGTTAATACCCGTTTTTCACCACATACATTTTCCTGAAGTGTTGTGTTTATGGCTATAATGTATGAAGCTATAGTATTTTACTAATCATAAATAACGACTCTTTCTTTCAGCAAAAACACTCTTTTCACTTTAAACTTTTGCTTTGGTTTTCCTTTGTATTTCGGCACTGCGGTTACTTGCTCCTGTAGGGTAAGTGGCTTTTTTCCTCATTGTAAGATGTTTTGCATACAAACGCATGCTAAATAATGAAATGTAAATGCACTACTATGCATTTAAAGCACTGTATGTACTTTGCTGGTAAAAGACTCTATGCCAGTATTAAGACATCTGCGTTTGTGTTCAACTGCATACTGTGAATTGCATACTACATACTGCAATTTTGACAAATAGTACACTGCATACTGCAAATTCTGACAAATGCAATAGGTTATTTGAATATTCCATGCATACAGAAAATTCCAATCTTATGCATTTCTTATGCATACTGCAGAAACGGTAGTATGTCATCCTATGGGACACACTAGTGCCAGATAGTACAGCTAGCAGCATGCATGTTTGAATGCAGTGTTGTGTGCAAGTCTCACATGCTGTGGTGGAGAAGGCTGCCGGTCGAGGTCCGCTGGGGTTGACGGAGGGTAGAGGGGGCATGACGGAGACGGTTGGTCTGGAATGAGTCTTTCCATCCACTGGGGAACCTGGCATGGCAGGAACGTTCTTCTCTGCGCTGTCTGAAAACCAGAGAGATTGAGCTGGAGACTGACAGATCACTTATTTTCATTGTAATCGCGAACATTTCTCATGAGGAGATTTCCATTAAAACCCAATAAAGTGCTGCAGATTTGTGGCAGCAGAACATCTCTGACCTCATAAAATCACCATGCAATTATTTCTTAACCGCATCCAAAACATTCCCAGAAGCACCAGTGCAAACGATGCAAACACAAATGTAGTCATTGTGTCTCAATGCATTGATATGCAATTGATATGCACTTCATGTTTAACGACACCTCCAATCCAATTGAGCCCAAACCTCTAAAAGCGGCATGCATTTCCAAGCCTGAGCTCCCTAACTAAACCCATCATCCTTTCTGCTGCACACCAGATGTTTTCTGCCCCTGTTTAAGAGCCGTGGAGTCCCGACAGCTGAAGTGCAAATAAACCAGGTTTTGTCCTCGGGAAAGAAAGGGTGATCATTGAGCCCGCTTCAGAATGGAGAATCGGGCCATTTCACGCTCGCTAACTAGGCTTCACAAAAGCCGTCAAGGGCTAAACGCATACTTTCTGCCTGTGAATGGACCACCAGGCCCAAAAGTCGTAGATCAGAGGCGCTATTGTTCTACAAGAGCCGTGAGAGAAGCTATCGGCCTCATTTGGAGTATATCAGACCGCTGGAAATGCTTTTATAAAGGCGGCTAATAGACCCACACAGATCGAGTTGTCAAAGGTCATGAAACGCTTCTTACCAGACGACTTTTCATAGACGGACAGCGCTTCTCTGGGTGAAAGGCGTGTTTTGTTTAATGTTTATTCATGGGAAACTAATGCAGTGAATGCGTTTCTCGTTGTATAGTTTTAAAATGGGCCTCTCCATTTAACAATGAAAAGTAAGGCGGCTTTTAATGGGATTGTTATAGCGCTTCATTTGTACGTTTCATTCCAGTCGCGATAAACAGACGAGTTCGTCACAGAGCAGAAAACTTGAGTGAATTGAAATATGACATTTTGCAGGTTATAGTTAATATGCTGCTATTTCTTTGTTTATACAATTTCGATTATTTCTCTATTTGTTTATGATTTTGAGTTGTGTGAAACCATAAAAAAATCATTCCTTAAAATAAAATAAACTTTTAAAAATTAAACTTATTTTATGTAACTTGAAGTACTAAAATAAATGATACTAAAATAACATCACAAAAATATAATAAGACAAATCATGTTTCTATGGAGGACAAAACCTGCAGTATAATATATAAAATATTTTTTTAAATGTATATTTTTAAATATTATGTTATATAATATACAAACAAACAAATAGGAACATATTTATTTTCCTATTATTGCATTTATTTATTTATTACATATTTATGCAAGTTTGGTCCTCCATATATTTCAAAGCATTGTTTGTGATTTGTGATATGTGACTCTGGAGCACAAAACCAGTCATAAGAGTCAATTTTTTGAAATTGAGATGTATACATCATCTCAAAGCTGAATAAATAATCTTTCCATTGATGTATGGTTTGTTAGAATCGGACAATATTTGGCTGAGATACAACTATTTGAAAATCTGGAATCTGAGGGTGCAAAAAAATCTAAATATTGAGAAAATCATCTTTAAAGTTGTCCAAATGAAGTTCTTAGCGATGCATATTACTAATCAAACATTAAGTTTTGATATATTAACGGTAGGAAATTTACAAAATATTTGAATGGAACATGATCTTTACTTAATATCCGAATGATTTTTGGCTATTGCTACAAATATACCCCAGCGACTTAACACTGGTTCAGGGTCACAAATCAAATGCTGAAGGACCAGTATATTTCATGTATTGCAATGAATCTCATTCTCATGTGCTTTTATTGTGAGTCTCCAACAAAACCATCGTCTTAACTCACTAATCGAATGCGGCACAGTCACAGGTGTGACACACTTTTGCGCGCACACACACACACACACACACACACACACACACACTTGGGACACTTAGACACAAATCTTGTGGTTTGTGAGCACACCTGAGCCCCACTCCGGGTCCTTCAGGCTGCCCTTCTTAATGCCTGACTGCCTTTGCATGTACACCTGGTTCCTTCCTAGGAGGCAGGAAGTAGAATGTGGGAAGGACTGGGAGAAACAGGAAGCCCAGCCATTTGGGTTTGTGCCACACCATAGGATGCACTCAAACCCTCCCGTATCCACCGTCTGTTAGCAGAGATTAGCATCATACCTGCGGAGAACTACAGCTTAACCAACACTAGCGACTTAAGTTCTGCTAGTCAAGCTGCATTTTGGTAATATGGGTTAAAAAAATTATAAAAATGTATGACTCGGATTGGAATCACGTTTATTGTAAAATATTGCAAATCAATATATCGGCTAGACGGATCATTTTGAGATTATGAATAAAGTCAGAAGTTTTTAAATCAAGCAAGTTTGTTTATATAATTAACAAATTAAATTGTCAATGTTTTGTTGTGTAGATATTGTGAAAAATAACCATTCATATCACCTGAGCAATTGTGCATGCATATTATTAAATTGCATTGAATGTAAATACTATAAATTGCATAAATTGGCATAATAATGGCTGCCCTGCTCTCATGCATCAATGTTATTTTTGAATTATTGATATAATATTATACTTTTTATTAATATTTGTTTACTTTGTTTTCATTTTAATTAGTAAAATTTGTTGTAATTTTGTCATGTGCTTTTGTAATTTTTATTAATACTATTTATGTTTAATTTATTTTTAAATTAGCCCAGTAGCCCAGGAAACAGTCCTAATTTTCATCTAGAAGAAGTTTTTCATCTATTATTTATATTTATTTTATTTCAGCTTTATTTCAATTAACAAAACTTTTAATAATTGTATTTATTTATTTTTCTTAGATATTAACCCTGCATATTTGTATGCATATTTCATGCATTTATATTGATGCACAATTGAAATGAATAAATGAAGGCTTATAAAGACCAAGTGCATTCAAACTGCAGATACTTCCAGCTCTTAAATTTGTCCTCTTTTGTGGTTTCAGGGACAAATGGCAGGTGTGGAGTCTTTGGTTATCAGTCACTGAACTGCTCGAGATCTACGAGGCAGAAGCATCCTTGCCTTCTACCTGAGAGAGACAGAGACAGAGACAGAGACAGAGACAGAGACAGAGACAGAGACAGAGACAGAGACAGAGACAGAGACAGAGACAGAGACAGAGACAGAGACAGAGACAGAGACAGAGACAGAGACAGAGACAGAGACAGAGACAGAGACA